ACTCCAGCTCCCACTACCCTAACCCTGCTTCTCAGCCTGATCTCTGCCCCTTCCACCCTCCCCCCACTCTGGCTTGATGCGGTGTCCTTCAGCCCAGATCCCCCGTCCATGCCCTCCACCATCCAGGTTTGCTGGAGGAGGATCCCAGTCACCCGGGCTGCCGGGAGGCAACGGCTCGGCAGGTCTGGCACCCTCCCCACCTCACCCTGCTGTCTCCGGGGCTTGTTTTCCGTTGCCTGCGGTTCGTTCCAGTGACTCAGGCAGCGAAAGCAAGTCTGGGAGGCTGCAGAGCCGCTGCTGGGAGAGTTGCACTTGGAGGGCTGGGGAGGAGAGGGATGGGGGGAGCAGCCAGAGCTGCTGGGCTTTACAGAGCTGGGACACTCCACTGTGAGGTTCGGGGGAGCTCAGAGAACAAGCTGGGAGAAGAGAAACTTTTAAAGGGCTGTTACATCTAAACAGGATTTGTGGGGAATTGCGGGGGGAGTACCATCGTGTCTGCTCATGTCTCCCCCTGCCAGTATCTGCTCTTTGTCCCTAATGGGCAGAAGAGGTGGAGCACCTGAAGCCCTGCTCAGCACCCATGGGATCCCCTGTTTCCTAAATGTATTGGATGACCCCCCCCCCCGGAGGACGTTGGGTGCTGCCCCCCCCCCCCCCCCCCCCCCCCCCACTATCGGTCTTGTTGGGCTGTGGCAGCCCAGCTGAGCATCGCTCACCTTTTTATGCAGGACACATTTTGGCTACAGTATTAATAATAACCGTGGGTCTGGCATGGCCATATTCTGGTTTCCATTAGGTTCATATCTTGCAATGATCACTTTCAGGAAATTCATCTAAGTCCTGCATAAGAGCTTGTCCTGTTACTAGACATCAGTGAAACACCACAGGAGAGGTTGCAGTCTTGGCTGTACAGCACTGGACTCATGGAGCAGATCTGGTGCAAGCTGCTGACACGCTGCCTGGCTGTGTCAAGCTGTGGGGTCCTGGTGGAGGGTCTACTCTTGACCAGGGGGACAGAGCCTCTGAGAGCACCCCAAAACTGCAAATAGCAGCTGGAGCCATGTATGATGGGGGAAAACATGGACAGATGTGTCTTTTGGGAGCTGGGATCATCTTTCTCCATTGCACATTTCTCCACAAATTGCCTTCCTGTCTTCAGAAAATACCCAGGGCTGCCCAGGACAAGCAGATGAAGATAGGGCCATCCTGGTTTGGGGGGGTGTTGAGTGTCACCCAACTTCTACAGATCCTAATAAAGGTGAGCAACAGATTGGGACAGGGCTGGTCACAGGCTTAACTGTCCCTGAGTCAGGAACTGTCCAGAAGGGCACAGAGGAGCCAGGAAGGTGGCAAACCTGTGGTACAACCTGGTGCCACGAACTGCTGGCAATGCACTTACCCACCCTGAAACTTTGGGCACCACAAAGGAACCCCATCACCAGTGTCCCACACCTGGACAGACCTCGTGGGGACCCAGATGGCCCCACCCCAGGGCTCTGGGATCTGCAAGGAGACCCCAAGACTGTGCTGATGATGCTGAAGCTGGGAAAGGGGCAGGCACGGATCCTCATGGCTGGCAGCACAGGTGGGTCAGAGAGCCAGATGCTGGTGGGACGACACCAACGCCGATGCCGATGCCGTGCTGTGAGATGCAGAGGGCCAAGAGGATGCTGTCCGGTCGGCGGGTCAGGAAGCGAGCGGGACGCTGGTGGGAGGCCGGGCCCGGGCAGTCTCCAGGCAGTGTCCGAGCCCGCTCCTAGCTGGGATGGCAGCGCCGTGTTTGCGAAGAGTTAAGGAGGCGGAAGAGGCAGGAAGCGGCCCGAGCCTCTCTCCATAGAAACCCGCGGCCGTGATTAAAGTCTGATGCGGGCCCGATAGCGGGGGGAGGGGGGGGCAGCGCCCGCTTTAATTACAGTGGAGGAAATTGCTGGAGCCGGGGCCCCGAGCCCCTGCGAGTTGCCTGGAAACTCCCCCTCCTCCGCCTCCCCCGGCCCCTGCCCGTCCCCTGCCCGTCCCGCTGCCATTTATTCGCCATCAGCTGCTCCCTGATAAAGTGGAATAATAATAATAATAATAGGGGCAGGAATATTAAAACATGCAGCCCTCGGGCCGCCCCCACAGCTGCCATGAGACACGGCACCGGAGCGGTGCCACTGCTGCTCAACATGTATCTGCCAGGTACGGGCGGATCCCTCGGCCGCTGCCCCACCGCTGCGCCGTGCACCGCACAGCACCCAGCCCCTGCCCGCCCTGTCCCGCTGAGGCCCCGGGACGCTTCTCTGCCCTGTCTCCTTCCAGAGCCCACTCTGTTCTCTCCTCTCTCTTTCTGTCCATTCTCTCTTCCTGCCTTCGAGCACCACAACCATCCCTTCTATCTACCCTCACAGCCTTCCATGCCTGCACACTTATCCTCCCATCCTTCATCCACCCACCGTCCCCCTGTCCTTCCATCCCTCCATCCACCCTTCTCTCCTTCCAACTCATCTTTCCACCCCCCCCATCCTTGCCCTGTGCTTCCATCCATCCTTCCACCCCACCCACTTATCCCTCTATCCCCTTTTCCATCCCCGCTACCAGCCAATCCCTCTGTCTACCCTCTGTCCCTTCCATCAGCCTGTTTTGCCCTCATCTTACCAATTACCTACCCTTCCTTCCATCCATTCACCTCTCGCCCTTTCTTCCCTCCATCTACCCACTCATCCAACCTCCCTTCTGTCCTTCCATCCATCCACCCATTTCGTTCCTTCCTTCCATCCATCTCTCCATCTATCTCTCCTTTTCACAGCGGTCCGCTCCCCAAACGCCAGCAGTCATCCTTCCTTCCACCCGCCGATCCTGCCGCCCATCCTGCCGCTCACCTGTCTCCTCTCCCTGTCCCCCTGTCCCGCAGCTCTCTCCCTCGCTCCTTCTCTCCTCCCTACCCCAGCCCACGGGATTTTCTATTCCTATTTAAAAGCTTCCCTGGCTGGGTCGGAAATCGGATTTCCTTTTTCCTGGACGCGTTTCCTGGCTTCGCCGCAGCGGCGGGGCAAGCGAGGGGGAGCCGACGGGGGCCGCGAGGACATTGCCCGCGGGTGGGCGCCGGGGGGTCGCGGTCCCGCCTGGCTCCAGCCCCCCGCCACCCCCACCCGCGCCCCTTTTTTTCCCCCAGATCCAGTAGGGGAAACTTTGTTCAAAGACGGGAAGAGCCAGGCATGGGGGTCTCTCAGCCCCGGCGTGCAGAAAGGTAAGAGCACCGCTGCCCCTTCCCCTGGACCTGCTCCGCTCCCCTCAGCTGGCCCGGAGCGGGGACCCCCGGGGCACATGCATTCTTCCCCGACCCGCAGCCACCGGGGAACCCTTCCCGTTCGTGTGCCGGGCACTGCCCATGCGGGACACGGCCGCCGCGGAGCCTCCGTTCCCTGCTGCTGCGGGTTGGGAGCATTCCGCCGCCAAATCCTACGGGGAAACCACCGAGCCCCGACGGCCGGGAGCCCCCGTTCCGTGGTAGCAGAGGGGAGCGGGGAACCCGGTCCCCCGAGCCCCGCAGCGGGGAGAGTTCGGGGTCCCAGCTCCGGTCCCCCAGTTGCTCGGGACATCAGACGGGGAGAGAGCTGCCAGCCAGCCCGGGAGTGGGGCGAGCTAATCCGGGCTCGGGAGACCCGTTCCTGGGAGTGGGGAGGTGAGTTGAGACACCATCCATGAGGGAGCTGCCGGTGAAGGACTGGGGCTCGGGCAGGTCTGGGAATTTATGGGTCCCCGTCTGGAGAAATCCACGCAGGGGTCACAGGCATGGGCAAGTGCTGGTGACGGAGCAGCCTGGAGCCTGCTGGGGAGTGCAGCAGCACTGGGCATCGCGGGGTCAGCACTGTGGTGTTTGGGCCATGTAGCTTGCCTGTCTGCAAGGAGACAGTTGACAAGGGGGCTGCTCTGAGCAGGAAAAGGGGAGCCCTGGTTTAGTGGTGGGAGGGGTAGGAAAGCTGGGACTGGGATACTCTTTTGCCTCTGCACTGGGGACTCTGCCTAGCCATACTCGGTGCACAGTGATGCAGTGAGAAGGACCTTTTTGGATCCCTGAATATTTCCTCGGGGAGCCGCCAGGTGTATTATCATGGCACCCTGCGGCAGTCAGGGTTGAGCCTCAGCACTCCACCCGGCTGCACCCTCCAACACCTCCCTGCCCTCCTTGCATGGGGTGGAACAGCCACAACTGGGAGATAGCTGGAGCCCAGGGTGGAGGCTGTGGCAATGAGAGGCAAAGGCTGCAGGGATCTCTCCCAGGGAGGAGAGACCCCCACCTTCTTCCCAGGATGGGGGATTAGGAAACACAACACCTTGGAAAGACTGGAGTGTATCTGCCTGGATCAGGATGTCTAACCTGGGTTTGGTGAGAGGGGGATGGATGGGAAACAGCTGTTCCCTGCTCCTTCCAGGGCAAGAAATGGGGAGCACCAGATAAAATAGGTGGGTGTTAGATAAGTAGGATAAGATGGTTCTTTGTGGGAAATGTAGCTGAGCTATGGGACTGCTTGCTGCAGGGGTCATAGGTGCTAAACCTCTGAATGGGATCCAAGCACCTATAGACACAATAATGGTAGAAAAGCACAGGGAGAAGGATTAAATGCAAAGACGTGCCCCCTTCTGTGGGAAGAGACTGTGCTGCAAGGGTTGGGACGAGGAGCAGGGATGTGCAAGGGCTGCTGCTCAGATAGGGTAGGGTAAGGTATTTAGATAAGTGCAGGGCTGCTCTGCAGAGTGGCTGGATCTCAGTGGCAGGACTGCTCCTCGTCCAAAGGTCCAGGGACCCTCTCCTCTTGTGACTTCTGGCCAGACACAATGAAGCCTGTCCTTGTGCCTCACCATGGGCATGTCCAGGTGTGCCAGGCTCCAGTGTGTGCAGCCTGGCACAGCGGCACCTTGGGCACCCACCAAGGATACTCCTCAGGGCAAGCTGCAGATGCAATGGCCATGGCTCAGAGAGGACACTTTTCCTCTGGAAATAAGGAACATTGATGCCTGATTCAAAGCCACAGCAGGTCCTGCTCTGTCCTCCTCTCTCCCTCTCCTATACTTATCTGTGCCTCTCTGGGGTGTAGTTCAGATCAGTGTTGCACCCTGACTTCAGCTCATCATGGAGACATCAGCACAGGGTACAATGCCTCTAGAGCAGAGGCTGTGCTGTGACACGAGCCCAGTTTCAAGCAGATGTGGCAGTGGGGGGAATATTTGTGCTGGGTTAAGTCTGAGTGCTTCCAAGACATCTCCTTCTTGGGTCTGCAGATGAAAGAAAAAGGCCATGTCCTCACACCAAAACAAACAAACAGGTATTTGTCTTCAGTGGTGTGTGAATGTGGGTGGGAGGGATGTGGAGACCCTGGATCCAGACCCACTGCAACCTATTTTGACCTCTGAGCACTCCTACCCCATCACAAGCTGAAAGGGCATCTTTTCCTCCTCTTACCTGAGGGGCAGGATGGAGTAGGGATGCTGCAAAGGAGACATAACCTTGTTACCATCTTCTGCATCTATAGAAAAGGGAAGATGCAATGAAGTGCAGCCTAAACCTGGGTCCACAAGGGAGGGGGCAATATAGCGGTGGGTCGAGGAGAATTGGGGCACATCCTGTCCCTAACCTTGTGCCCTGGGAGGGAGCTTTAACCTCTCCGGGGCTCGGCCTTGCAGGCAGCGGACAGATCCAGCTGTGGCAGTTCCTGCTGGAGCTGCTTTCGGACCGGGCCAACCTGAACTGCATCGCCTGGGAAGGCACGAATGGGGAGTTCAAGCTGATCGACCCCGACGAGGTGGCACGGCGCTGGGGCGAGCGGAAGAGCAAACCCAACATGAATTACGACAAGCTGAGCCGGGCACTGCGCTACTACTACGACAAGAACATCATGACCAAGGTCCATGGCAAGCGCTACGCCTACAAGTTCGACTTCCATGGGCTGGCGCAGGTGTGCCAGCCGGCCACCCCCGATCACACCCTCTACAAATTTCAGGGCAACCTGGCACCGCTGCCCTTCTCGGGCATCTCCAAACTCAACCTCATGACCTCTGGGGTGACACCGGCCAGCTTTTCCTACTGGCCTGGTTCCAGCCCATCCCTCTACCCCGGGCACGGGCTCCAGCCCTCAGCTCCATTCAGCGCCATGGCAGCCTCCCACCTCAACAATATGAACAACCATTACCATTAGAGGCTCAGCTGTGCCAGGTGGACACTCCTTGTCCCTGGCAGCATGGGGCTGTGGAGTTGGGAACTCAGTGGGGAGGGATGGGGGGTGGGATCGTGCCCTGCTCTCACTTGCCCCCTTTTAAATTTGGAATGGTGGGGAAGGTGGGAGGTGCTTGCAGGGTAGCTGGGTTAGTTCCCTGATAGGGGTGGCTGGAGGAGAGAAGCCATCTAAATTTAAGGTGAGGAGGTATCCATGATCCTGGGAACAGATGTGGATACCTAAAGCAGGGTGTGAATGGAAGGAATAACTATCAGCTCCACTCCTGGCAGGGACTGTGCACCCCCTTTCCTTTGCAACATGCTGCCCACTCCCTGAATATCCTTAGCTCTACCCCCAGCCTGTGCCTGCCCCACCCCTCTACCTGCAGACAGGAGTCAGGAGCTGGGGCCTTGGGGCAGCTGCATCCATGGATGAGGGTCCCACTGAGCAGGGGCAAGGAAAGGGGACCTTCCCTGACCACTTGGTTCACTCACCTGTGTCTCCAAAGTCTTCCTTTCTTCCATCCCTCCTACACCTCCTGCTGATGGTAGCTCCCTTCACACCTCAGGAGAAGCCTTGGTCTGAAGAGCAGATGTTCTTCATGGGTTGATTCCTACCTGGGGCAGGGCTCTGGGGTTGGAGGTGCCAGGGGCAGGTGTGACAGGCACACACTGCCAGTCTTCAGAGCAAGACCAGAGCCTGGAGGCAACACAGCCTGGTCCCTGCAACTCTGCCCTCTCCCCAGCACTTGAGGATCACACCACAGATGGTCCTGACATCCTGCACATGAGTCTGTGTCCTGCTCGTCACTTCCAAGATTATTGTTCCAGTTTTACTCTGGCTTTAGCCCCTCACATGCAGGGCTTGGTGGGACACCTTCCATAGATGGGAACATCCCCAGGGACAAGGCAGGGTGGGAGGTAGGGCAGGAGAAGGGATAACAGCAGGACCGGGAGCCCCAGGAACCAAGGAGCAGCCCTGGGTCTCCCCCTGGGTTCAAGGAGCTGCCCCCATCCTCCGGAGCAGGACATTGGCTCAGCAGACTCAGAAGAGCTGGGCACACTGAGCTCTACGCTGGCTGGGGGGTGGGTTTGGTCTTCAATAAAACAGAGAGGTGCTGTGACCTGTGTCCTCTCCTGTCTGAAGGGAGCTGGCAAGTGGGGGAACCACTCAGCAAATCCTTTCCCATCTGAGCCAGAGCACCTTCAGGGCTGGGGTGTGGAGGATGCCACCACTCTGCTGTCTCACCTTTTCTCCAGGCATCATGTCTGATTCTTATAAACCCCAAGAGACAGGGCAGAGCTGGAAATCTCTGGGTTACTTGAGGCACCCCTCCAGGGAGCCCACATAAGCTGATCTTAGGCTGGCAAGGGGATGTGGCAACTGGAGGCAAAGAGGAGATGCAGTTGGCCCGGCAGGATGTTTGCCATCCTGCCGTTATCCAGGCAAATTAGGGATGCCAGGAGCTGGATCTCTTGTGACTCACAGTCCTGTGCAACCAGTCTGGGGTAATGCACTGGGCTCAGCACAGCCACATCCTGTGCCAAGCCAGGCTCATGTGTGACATTGATGCAGGGGTGAGTGGGAGAGCACTGCTTGCCTGGCTCCAAGAACATGCCCACAGATCCACTGGTGCCCACAGTGGCTGCTGTGGGCCCAGGGACTGCCCTCTGTTTGTCCCCTTCCTTGAGGCTTTGTTCCCGATCCCACTGCCATCGAGGACCCAGGGTGCCAGGGACGGGTGCCAGGCTCACAGCAGGGATCAAACTGGCTGTATAGGGGGGAGCCATACCCAGCCCATGGAGGGAGTGGCCAGCACCCAGCCCCTCTCTCTGCATGCCCGAGATCACAGTAGCCCACAGATCTGGGGGCTTCATGCTGCCCCCTCTGCATCCCTCCAGAGTCTGGTCACTCTCACAGCCTTGGTGGCATCTGCTTCGATGCATCCTCATTGCCCTAATCAGCTTAACGGAGTGGGATCTGATGTCAGTGTGTCCTCTGGGGAGGGCTCAGGCTGTGAAGTGGGGGGGCCCGATGCTGCCAGCTGGGTGCCCATGTACGGGAAAGGAGTTGCAGGGACTGAAGAGAGAGGGGCCGCCCCTACCTCCAGGGTCCCTGAGTGTTGCACAGCCTGGTTCCCAAGGACGGCAGGAGGTGAAGTGAGGGGGAAAAGAGTAGTTACCCCCACGCAACTAGTGTGAAGACAGGCTGAAGACACCCCTTGCCCCCAAGCTTGGCTTTGCAAGGGCAAATGGGGGAACTGGCCACAACTGGCTCCTTCAGAGACGGGGCAGAGGGCTGCGCCCCCGCCGGGGAGCCGCTTCAGGGCTTAGGTAACTGCATGACGCAGGGCAGGACACGGATTAAGGGATGTGGGTCACTAGTAGCTCCTCCCTTCTCCCCCTCCCTGTCCCCACCCCTCGTGTCCCTCTGCCAGTGCCTGCACCAGGGAAGCCCAGGTGACTCCAGTCCCCTCCTCACCCCCGACCCTGCAATCCGGGTCCCTGCTGGATTGGAGGCGAGACATGTTGGGGAAAAGGGGGAGTTACCTTTTCGGGAGAGGGGAGACCACTGCACACACCCAGTGCAACAGCCTGCAGCTGAGGGCTTGCTTTGCTCTGATCTGAGCTCACTTGGCACAGTCCCACTGCTCTGTCCCCAAGGTGCCACACCAAAAGCCGGGAACCAGCCCTGCACTCCCCAGGGACGGCAGCCAGGAAGGAAGGGGGAGGACACCCATGCGGGACTGCATCAGCGATGCTCTCGTCTGCCTGTGGACGCAGCCGGTGTCACCATGGCAACCCGGGATGCTCCCATCCTCAGGCACCACTGGGAGCCGCCCCCCCCCACCATGACATATTGTGCTTATCGGAAGGGGGAACAGAGCATCACTTTCACCCAACTCAGTTTCCCCCTCCCCAGAGCCCCACCTGACCCAGCCTGCCAGAGGTGCTGCTTTCTGCAGTTTTCTTCAGTCACCAAAACTGCCGGCTCGGAGCAGACTGCAGCAAAATCCTGCCAATGGGCAAGCGGGGCCGAGCCCCGCACAGCTTCTGGTGGAGCATCGTCTCTGGCCCCGACTGGGGGTGCCCAGCCCACGGGGCTGATGTGGGAGCACCATCCCTGGCAGTGGAGTGTATGTACCAGCTGGGTGGGCAGCCTGTCTCAGGTGGCTGGCAGGAGGTGCATGGGCCCAGTGCATCCATGGGCTTCTGACCTACCTGCAGGGAGTCCTTGGGTGCCCTGTTCAGGGTGAGATGGGGAACACGGTCCCAAAGGGCTTCAGCTTGCACTAGGAAGAGTAAGGGAGCAGAGGCTAAGGCACAGCAGCTTCTTCTGCTGCCCTGTGATTAAAGACAGAAGGATTTTTTTCCCTACTTAAAAAAAAAAAATAAAATAAAGTCTCTTTGTATCTGGCTTTGCTTACCTGTCAAGAGGGCAGGTTTTAGCCTCTTGCCAGCATAACAGGGGGGCCCCTCCAACTTCCCCAAAGTCTCCCAGCCACACAGTAATGGATCAGAGGGAGGACTGAATACCCCCCATCTCCTATTTTAGCAGAGTCATGTCACCACTTGTTTCATTTCTCATGCTGCCTTTGCAGCACAGCCATGCCACGTCTTCCCTGGGGGACATCAGCTGCCTCTCTGCCTACCTCTGCTCTCCCTGCAGCTCTCCCAGTTCCCACTTATTTCATCCTCTCCACATCCTGGCTGTGCTGGCTCCTCAGCCCCCTACCCCCAAGCTGCTGACTCACATCCTCTCTCCAGACGCCACCTTCCCTTGGCGTGGCTCCCTGCAAAGTGCTTCACGACTTAGTGTGGCTCAGCCAGAGCCTGCAGGTACAGGCATTCAGGCTTCAAAACCCTTTGTAAAGTCCCTCCAAGGAACAAAATGTGATGCTTCCCAAAGATGCTGCTTTCTTCCTTGCCAACATGCAAGGGCTGGGGCTGTACTGCCACCATAAACCCAAACCTCATCCCTGCTGCCACCAGCTCTCTGGGCTGCCAGGGAGACAGTGTCCTGGTCTGCTGCTGCCCAGCTGTACACTGAGACCTTGGGCTGGACTTTGCTGAGGGCAGTAGCTGAGTAGCGGGAGGACTGGATTAATGTGCTAATGCCAGATTATGCTCTAATGCAGGACTTCTGATGAGGAAGCAGCCCCTACTCCAGCCTAGGGGCACTCACTTCCTGAAGCAGACTCCCCATGACTGCCTTGGGCCACAGCTTGGTGCTGCCTTGCTATCCCCCAAGGAGTTCAGTCCTCGGGGGTGACAAAGGACCGTGAGACAGGCAGGGAACACAGCACAGGGTGACCTCCACGCTCAGCTCTCAGTGAGCTGGAGGTAATGCCCCAGACTATGTAGCCCTGGCCCTCTGCTCTTCCAGGCTCTGTGGTAGAAGGATTAACCATCACAGCAGGGCTCCAAGGTATCTGGTTCCCCTTCTTCACCTGCCCCAGCTTCCCAGCACAGAACTGTCCCCAGTCTATGCTCCTCAGTCCCAAACCCATCAGCCAGGCAATGCCACAAGACATGCTTTGGCTACAGTGGAGACCAAACTGTCTGTCATCCCACCTCCTTCAGTCTCATGACTACCACTGGGCCACCCTGGGCACAGGCAGAGCTTTTGCAGATTTCCACCCAGCCTGGATTTATCTCCCATCAGCTGAGACCTTCTGGCCGCTCTTCTGCCCCTTCCTGAGTACAAATATCTCATCAGCCAATTTCACCTGGGACTCTTCATTCTCCCTCTGTCATTTGCTGCCATGTCCCGGGGTCACTTTGTCCATGTATTCCCCCACAGACACCCCACCAGCAGCTGTGATGAAGTGCCATGGAGCAGGGAGGGGACCAGAAACCTATACCCACAAGTCATCCCCAATTCAGCCCAGAGAGCAACAGCCCAAAGCTGCAATGGATCCAGTGTCCAAGTACCTCCCACAGAGGCAGAAGAGAGACCTCCCACTTCCATCTGCCTCGAGAAACATGTTCTCCATCATCCCCACAGGCAAATGAAGAAAGGCCTGAGTAGAAAGCTGGGCCAAGGCAGGTCCTTCACCAGCCACGCAGGTGCCAGGTCTGCATCATACAGAACAGTTTCCTCCCCATGGAGCACCTCCAAGTCACTCTGGGGGATGATGCCAACTCTTAATAGCAAAAACACAGCTTCACTGCTGTTCTTTTGACAGGAAGAAGCATGGCTTGCCACATTGGCTGCTCCAGCTGTTCATCACTCCTCCATGCCCCAGTGCCATGGCCAGCTCATCCAACCCATAGAGTTTGCTCCCCAGACAGAGCAGTAGGGCAAGGGGAGTCCCACAGAGCAGTTGTTCCACAGCTCCAGGTAGAAATTCCCCTTTTCATGGGTGACTGTGCAACCTTGGGACCACTGGCAACCAAGGTGCCCCTAGCAGCCCCATACACTCTTGGGAAGCAACATGAGGATGCTATGGCCTGAGAAGAGACCTTCTTGGGGCAGAAGGTTCTGAACCCACTGCAGGCTGCACCATGCAGCTTGTGTCCACCTACCCTGCTGCAACGTATGTTGGAGCAGATGGGGCATCCACTGTGAGGCACAGAGAGGAGATGTGTTGCTGCTGGAGGGATTTCAAACTAGGAAAGTACTGGGATCCCTCACCTGGATTTCTGTGGTGATTGATCACTGACTTGGCCCTGCTGCTCTACCTCTGAGTCCCAAACCCAACGTGAATCTCCCATCCCTGCAATCCCAGACACTGATGGGCTCTGCAGCTGGCAGCACGGGGGCTTCCTAGTCCCTTAATGCTCCTCAGGGAGCACTGGTGGCTGAAGGGATCACAAGGCTGGGGACAAGCTCTATCCATCCCCCTTACTGCTGCCCAATAGCTGGCTCCTGAGTCCAGATCATCCATCATGCAGGAGCACAGGGGTCTGGCAGGTTAAACACACAATTTTTAAGAGGGGAAAATGCTAAGCTCCCAAGCCTGTCTGAGAATTCCCACCCCCACTACTCATCCTTGCTTGTGTTCCCTCCCCACCTCCTCTTTGCCCTGGTGGGAGCAGAAGGCTCCCAGGCAAGGTAAGGTGAGTGCTCCACCTGCCTTGGTTCCCCCAGCAGCTGTACAAGATCCAGACACATCTCCCTCTCCTCAGTAAGGCTCTGGCTGAGCCAATGATGCATATTTAAATGCAGGGGAGCATCTAAGTTCGTCTCTCATTCCTTGACATTTCCAGAGACTCCAAGCTGTCTTCAATTACCAGTCTGCAATTAGCTCTTCCTAAATCCCCCAATGAGGCCTAGCACTCTTAATCAATGAAACACAAGGGAGGAGGGGAAAGACATGGCCTCGCTGCAGCTGGAAACATTTTAAACGGCTGGGGCTTGAAGCTGAAATATCTTGTATCGCTAAGGAGATCTGCAGGGTGGGAAACCCTCACCAGTGCTAGCAGGTTGTTCAGCTCTAGAGACAAGGCTCTATAAAGCCCCTCACCTAGGGGTAGGGGAGTCACTGAACAAACACCCACAGCTCAGGGTAGAGACTGCCAGCACCACAGGCTCAGGTGTTACCCTGCGATGCAGCAGACCTTCCTGCATTCACCTCACTGTGCCTCAGTTTTCCTCTCTGCAAAATGCTGATAGGGGAGAGTCAGGGCTCTCCCAGCAGCCTCATAGGAGTTTTGAGGGTTCAATTCCACCTCTTTAAGCCAGAGCTACCTTCCTCAGGACAAGATGCAGATATAGTCAAATTTGGGGTGGGTTGAGTGCATTGTGGCCCAGACAGCTCACCACAAGGTCACATGAATGTCAATCTACAGGCAGGAACAACAGCACCCATTAGGAGAGGCAGAAGGGGGGAAGCACTGGTCTTGGTGGGTTTACACAGCCATGGAAAAGCCTTGCACAGCACCCTGCCAGGTCAGCCCCCATGATGACATCTGTGCTGTCTTCCTGGCAGCACAGCTTTGCCTGAATGAGCCAGATTGGGCCTAATTAGCAGCTCTGCTGATGCACACAAAGGTAGAGAGAATCCAGCTTACCCTCCATGACCTGCAGAGCCAGCACAGCTCTTCCCAGCTAAGGGGAGCCTGAATGCCTGGCTCAGAGGGGCTGGGAAGCACTGGATGCAGACCTCGGAGAATATGTGGTGCAGATCCTGCTAAAGAAGCCCCAGCAAATTCAGTAGCCTGAAGCATAGCAACCAGCTACGAGAAAAGCAAAGCCTTCCCCTTCTCCACCCCTCTCCCTGGGGGTCTGCAAAAGCACAGAGCTGGTAACAGGGCTAGCAGCACAGCTCCCACAGCCTGCTGCTGCCAGGGAAGGGAGCCCAGCCCTGCAGAGACAGGGAGGAAGGGGGAGGTGGGGGTAGCTTTAGGAAAAATAAAACTAAAAAAAACCAAAATATGGAGGTGACATGAAATGTGGCATCCTATTTAAATCCAGAGCAGCAGACAGGCATCAGGCATTTCCATCTGGAATGGAGAAGGCCAGGAGAGCTCACAAGGAACCAAGAGACACTCAGGTGGACCACAACTGGCCTTGGGCACAACAGGGGTGAAATTCTGACCCCCAACTCACACTGGGTAGTAAAACCTGCTTTGAGAATCAGGTCCCTCCCATCCCTCTTGGGGAGGAGAGGGGGCATGACTAGGAGCTTGGGGTGCCCCCCCAATCCCACTTGCACCCCACAGCCCAGCAAGTCCAGGAGCCATCACCAGGCCCATCCAGGCCACCTCTTTATTCTCCAGTGAAGCAAAGCAAGAGGAGAGGGGACCCCCCCCCCTCCCATAACAGACCCCCTCCGCCTGGGCTCCCTAGGCCTCCTCTGGCACAGACCCCTTTACTCGCAGCAAGCCAAGGTTGGGGGAGGCATAACCCCTTGTTTGGGGAGGCGCACCGGGGGGCGGGGGGAGGAATTACCCGCGCGGAGGGGCGTGGGCGCCACCCCCAGCGGCTCGAACAAAGAGGCATGCGGGCGGCTCCCGCGGGGTGAGGGGCACCGTCGCCCATGCTCAGGGGGGCCCATATCCCCCCACGTGGGCGGGGGGGGGGGGGGGGGGGGGGGAAGGCATCGCTCATCACACAGAACCCACCCCCCAGCCTTGCCCGTAACCCTGCCCTCCCGCCTTTGTCTGCTCAGGCGCGGCAGCTCCAGCACCACGGACAGCACCGGGAGCACGGCAGGGCGGCTCTGTCCGCGCCGGGGAGCTCGTTCACATGCACCCTCTGCCAGAGGCACCCGCCGCACCCCCAAGGCCTCTCGACCACTCCTGCCCCAGACCCTCACATCCATTTTTTCACCCCTTTTTTTTTCTAGAGAAAACGCATCCAAGGAGCCTCCGCTCCTCCGCAGCCTTCCCCCCTCCATCGCGCAGGCGGGAGAGACACCACTCCCCCTCCTCGGTCTTCGCCGCCGCCTCGGTGTTCCAGAGCGCAGCCCCCATCTGGGGTCGGAAGCGCGGGAGGGGGGCGGCAGGATCCGGAGCAGGGAGGGTCCAAGTAGCGTCTCTGTGGAGCTGGCGGCCGGGGAGGGGGGAAGGCGAGGAGGATGCGGGGGGAGGATGGGGAATCCGACAGTCCTTCTCCTCCCCCGCCCCTCGGTGCGCGGCCCCTTCCGGCCCCGGGGGCCTGGTACCTCCCTAACGGTCCAGGCTGATCGTCCAGTGCTTGGACCCGTCTCCGCCCTCGCCCTCGCTCTTGAGGTCCTGGAAGAGTTGCGTGAAGTAGTGCGGGTCCGCGTTGATTCGCAGCATCTTGGCGCTGAGGCGCTGGATGATACCCAGGCAGCGCTCCCAGAAGCGCCCCTTGTCGCCCTCCACCAGGAAGGGCTTGAGCGGGTAGGAGATCTCGTTGCCCATGTAGGAGTAGGCAAGATAGAGGCAGGTGAGGAAGGCGGCCTGCAGCTCGGCCTGGCTCCCGATGTCTTCGCCCCGCAGCGCTTCCCGGCACAGCAGGTAGACGAACACCAGGTTGGCCGGGGTGATGAAGCCCTGGTCCTGCCAGCCCTGCAGCAGCAGCGAGCGGTCCACGCTGCGGAACCAGGAGATGAGCTCGCCGGGGCTCAGCTCCTTCAGGCGGTAGCAGCGGCGGCACACGAAGTCCCCCAAGCAGCGCAGCAGCTCGCCGGTGGATGCCTGCACCACCACGCGGCGCGGGGACCCTGGGGGGCGGCCGCCGACCGGCGGCGGTGGCGGCGGCGGCTTTCCCCCGCCGGAGCCCGGGTGCAACTCCTGCGGCGCCGAGGGCACGGTGGGTACCGGCACGGCTAGCGGGCCCTGCTTGGCGCCGTCGGCCGGCCCCACCACCGACTTGCGCAAGTTCTCGCGGTTTCGCTGCACCACCAGCGGGTCAGGCTGGCCCGGGGGCCCCCCCGGGGCCCCGCCGCCGGGCTTCGGTGTCACCTTCTTGGTGCTCTTCTTCTTCTTGGCCGAGGCGGCCACCAGCCTCTTCCAGGTGAGCGCCGAGATGAGCACGCCGGGGCGCTTCAGCCGGCTCTCGCCCTTGCCCGGCACCCTTCCCGGCGCCTTGTCGGCCAGCAGCCCCCCGCCGCCGCCGCCGCCCTTGCCTGAGGAGGCGGCGGGGGAGAGGGAGAGCACCGTGCCCATGCTAACGCCGAGCGAGACGGGCGTGCAGGGGCCGGGGCGCCGGCACCGCCCATAGGAGGCCGGGGCCTGCGGGGGAGGCGGCCCACACCGGGGCCGCGGTACCCGAAGATGCTCCGCCGCGCCCGCTCTGGGCTCCGCGCCCGCCGCTGCAGCCAGACGCGGCCCCGCCGCTCCCCGCCTCCCCGCCGACAGCCAATCGCCGCCGCACGAGGCCCCGGTGTGCCCGCCCCCTCGCCGGTGGGCGGTGGCGGGGGCAGAGCACGGCGCGGCTTTGCCCGGCGGCCGCCGCCCCGGCGTGACCTTCACCGATCGGGGGCTCGCCCAGTGCTCCCGCCAGGGCAGGGGGGCGGGTTGGGATCTGCGATGCTGTCGCAGCCCCCCAGCCCTTTGCGTGGGGGACGTGCGGTGGCTCCTGGGGAAGCCCAGAGGACAGTGGGCACAGGAGGGGTCTAGGGAGGGCTTGTGAACTCGGCTGTTCTTGCGAAGTCCTGTTCTATGTTCTTTCAAGGGAAAAGATGAACCTTCCCAGACCAGCAGAGCTCTCTGCTCCAATGGTACTTGGGGAACACAGTGGGGAAGAAGAGCCCCTGGAAATACCAGAAAAGAGCAGAGGTGAAAAGAAGGGGTGAAGATCAAGAAGACTGTGAACATATGCTCAAAGGGCAGCTAGAGGCTTGGGGTAGGTGGAAGGCTGTCTATGACTCGGCAGCCAACATGAAAGGTGTAGGCTTGGTGGGCAAGCCTCATCTCTCCTGAGAACCAGCTTGACCCTGGGAACAGCTCTGCAGGGAGTCAGAAGGCACCCAGCCTTGGGGGAACACCCCCAGCACCTGCTGTGCAAGCATGGAGTCCCCCACCCACCCTGCCTCTTCCCACTCAGCCGTGGAAGGGAGATTTACCACCAGGCTGACAGTCACCAGCATCAGACCAAAGTGAGGGACCTTGGAGAAAGGGGAAGGGACCTCCTCCATGTTCCCAAGGCAAGTCCATCCAGCCCTGCTGGTCAGGGCTCCCAGACCTTCAGGGGAGGAGGGAAGGGATGCTGCACTTCTGCTTCATTGCAAGCGGTGTGATAAACCAGCCACATGCACGTGCATAGATGCTGTTTCTCCCTCTATGAATATGAGCATTCCATAGATGAAACCTGCACCCTCTGCTTGCTGCCTCTCTGTTCCTCGCAGGAAGATCCCCCCTGTATTTCTCATGAGCTGCATCACGGATCCTGCAGCCCTGGTTTCTACAATGGGTGCCAGGCATCCATTAGGAACAAAATGCCCCAATTGCAGGGACTGCTCCTGCATATAAAGCATTGGGAGAGACAGCTGGGAAAGGTTTCAGGGAGAATGTCTAAATGACGCATTTTGATACAGCATTTTATGTGTGAAATGAACACGTCGTTGCCAGGATGTAGTTCTGCCGGATGGATCCAGGCTAACAGGCGGTAATGAATTATCAACAGGGAGGAGCTAAGCCAGCCCCCTGCTTCCTCCTGCACTGCTGATGCTGGAAGTGTTTGCAATGAAAGCACAGACTCAGAGCCATATTTCAGGCTTCTACACTGGCCTCCTGATGCTTGGGGCTGACTTGCCACATCTAAGGGCAGAACAGAGGCTATGCCCTCTGTGCCTTGGCAGGGAAGAGTGGCAAAGTCGCATTCCCACATATTCTGCACTGTGGTCAGCCACCATCCCTGCAGTAGGTTCTGCAAAGGACAGGCACGTGTGCACACAGACCTTCAGACGGAAAGGTGTGCTTTGGAAGTGGCCAGAACCGAGTGGATTTGGGCCAGCACCATCTGCTCAAGGCCAGCTTAGACTGGGCTAAGTAACCAGGAGGATTTGGTAAAGGGGTATAAATACAGACAAAGAAAATCAGGACAAGGTTCCTGACAACGATTAAGTCAGCACTGTCAGATATACATAGCTGGTTTCAACCTAGCTGAGAAGATGGAGGAGCCCTAGGGAGGGGATGGGAAGGAGCTTGTCTTTGCTCTCTTTACATGTTTGAGGATTTTGTGGTGTGCAAACATGGTCTCATGAGAAACCCACAGCTGAATTTTGCAGGTGAGGAAGCAGAGGCCTTTCTGCATACTGCTTTCTCCTGCTGAAGTGAAATTGGTGTCAGATTGCTTCATCTGAAACACATGAAGCCACCCCCACCTTGTGTGAGATCTCCCAAATTGGCTTCCATGAACTCATGCAGAAAGACTACTCATATTTGATAGTGATGGGCTTCACAGCAGAGGCCAGAGAGTTTCCCTGCCTCCCTCAGCTGGGCTTGTGGTTATTGAACTGCACAGCTTGGTGTGTGTATGCACCTCCTACCACTTCCAGGAGGGGAGATTTGGCTGAAGTCTGTTTAAAAATCCAGCCCAGAGCTGCTCAGTGCTGCAGCTTGAGGCCTCAGCTATGAGCAGGAGGAGTGCTTCAGTGCATTATTCCCTTCTTGCCTGCAGCTTGTGTCCTGCTGTGGCAGCAGCTCTGGGGTAGAGAAGGTTGTTCTCCAAGACAGCATTGCTGACAGCGGCAAGGGCTTCCTGCAAGCACTATGGAATTACCCAAGCCCTACAAGGACAGCAGGATCTTTCTTATGTGGGTAAAGAAGCAGCTTTGCAGCTTACATGGGAGGCAGCTTCACTTCCATGTGAAAGAGGAGGATCTTTTCCCCACTCTTTAGTTTTACTCTTCAGGCTCAAGCCCCAGGGCTGGCAGGCAATGATATAGCACAAAGTACATCCTTGGGGCCATCTCTGCTTGGCCTCTTTCTTGGTTGTAAATGGTCAGCTGGCAGGGAAAGGCACAAAGCAGGAGGAGAGGGCAGCATTTCCCTTCCCCAGGGAATTGCGTTTCCCACCTCAGGCAGCAAGAATGACATGCCTTTGGATGCAAGGGAGGAAAGAAGTAGGGCTCCAGCCATACTTGGTCTCAAATCTCTCAGACTTCTGGCCTTAGCCAAATCTTCAGCTGCTGGTGCTGTGGCTTTTTGGGGACACTGCTGGTGTACACAGGTACTCTGTCACTAAGGGTCACTCTAGCCAGAGCAACACATACTTCAGCTACATGCTAGCACCAACAAAGGGATGGTTTCTTGTCTCTGGCATGATGTTGCCATGCTGAGGCTCTGTCTCAGAAATGCACAAGTTCCCAGCCTGGGGCAGAGCAGCTCTCCCAGCACCCTCGTGACAAGAAAAGGCATTTTGGAGGGTCCAGGGCTCCCTAGTCTGACCCCAGCTCCCTTCCAGGATGCTGGACTATTGGACACGGGCTTTGTGATGGGTCCTGGCTGAAAGCAGTTGGCACGTCCCCCTGCCTGCTCCAGAATGATGAATGAGCATGTGTTTGCTGGCTGGCTAGAGCTGCTCTTTAATAGCTCACTTGCTGTGTCGTGGTCTGTCTGCACTGGCAAAGACAGGCAGGGAAAAGGACTGTCTCCTTGGCAGCAGCTGGCCAGCCAGCTCCTGCACTGCTTTACCCATGGAGACAGAGCTCACAGTCTCGGTATATCTCTCAGTGAGTGGTTCTGACAGCTCTGGTGCTCCCCCTCCCCATCCTGTGCAACAGCTTCTGGCAGAGCTCCTGCTGCGCTGGGAGCCCTGGGGCTGGGAAGCCACAGAGGACCTGGCTGGCAGGTTGTCTGCAGTGCTCAGGGAGGAGAAACCTGCTTGTGCTTCTGTGCTTTCCCCCTACACCTGTCCCCTTCCCAGCTCTCAAGGGTGGGGGGCTACAGCTGTGGCTACATAGACACCGAAGCTTACCCTGTGATACCTACTTAGTGTGGCTCAGGGTGGGAAGCAATGCCTACCTGAGGTGGCTGGAGGAGCTTGTGCAGCCCCTGCTTCGAAGTCAGCCCTGGGTTTGCACAGCAGAGTGGAGCAGAGCACAGTCAAATCAAGCAGCCCTGTTGCAGCCCCTGGAGAGAAGCTATTTTTGTCTTGCCATTTGCTGAACGGCAGTGATGGGAATGGCTCAGAGAGCTGAAGAAACAGCTTCTCTGGGTGGAAAACATGCAAGGCAGAGCCAGGCCTTGAATCCACATGGAAACACATCTCTGCTTCCCAGTCCATGACCAGAGAGATGGGTCCTGGCACTGGTTAGCTCCTGGCTTCTGGTGGGAGAGGCAAGGGGGTATTCACTGGCACTGGGGTGAGGATGTGGATTGATTGCTGTTAGGGCTCTGCTTTCAGCAGACATCCCTTCCAGGACTGCTGGCATTAAAGCCTTTGGGGAAGAAGGTCTCAGCGCTGAGTAGAACAGGAAGGAATAACTGGGATGTCTCAAGTATAGCCACGGGCTGCTTAAATGCCTGCCAGCACATCCCTGGGGTCTTGTGGCAGGAGAAAACCCACACAGCCACAGGGTGGTAGAGATTGACGAAGGTGCCAGTTATACCCCCTGCAGCCAATTCGGGCTCCATGAGCCAGCCGAGCACGGGAAGGTGGCGGGTGGTCTCTGCGCTGGACCCCCCGAAGGGGTGAGGCGGGGCTGAGCGAGCCCCTGCGCTGCCCGCCGGGGTGGCGGCTCGGGGGTGCCGGGGGCCGGGGCTGTGCTGCCCTCTCGCGGCAGCCGCCCCCGGAGCTCCTCGGGCGGGTCTGGCGCTGCGCAGAGTCCCCTCCCCATCTTCACGTTGTTTCTCCAGCGTCTCTGTGCCCGGCCCATTACCACAGTTCTTTGCCTACCTCCGCTTTGGGGAGACTGGCTGTCGGGGCACTGGCATAGCTGTGGAAAGCTGCCACTGGTCTGAGGAAAAGCGTCTGGTTTCCCTTCTGGTGACAGTGATTCCTCCCCGCTACCCATCACCCACCTGTGCGGCAGCTCCCAGCCTGCGCAGAAGCAGGGGGCATCTCTGGAGCCTCCTGGCAGTGAAAGGACTGTGAGTGAGACTCACAGAGACTGGCAGTCTCTGTGCTGGGATGGAAGGGATGCAACGGGACGCTGTGTGCGAGGAGCGTCCCCGAGCAGGGGAGAAAGGACAGAGGGAAAAGCACGGGGCAAGGAAAGCATCTGTGCAAGTACTCCTCCGTGGCGATCAGGAAGAATTTATCCAGGATCATGTAGGATGCTGGGTGCTTAGCACAGAACCCCTAGTTTCCAGGTCAGAATTCTTCCTATACGTCCCTGGCTGGCAGGAGCTGAGCAATCCAGTCCCT